ATGGCAATCCACATCACCAGCCCATTGATGCTGTACCAGACCCTGTAAGAACCACAACCTCCAAAATTGTTGTTGTGATCGACGCTCCTCTCAATGATCTCCTCATAACCAGCTAGCTTCTGCTAATCAGTCAGGTAACCCGTGGTGACTATTTGCTTGATCTGCCAAAGAGGATGCATAGGGCAGTTACGGTACACCTTGGAGACATCTGATTTCCACACTAGGAGTTCAGCTTTAGCATTCGCAGGTGAGGAGCAGCGGAATCGCAGAAGGGCTGCAAAGAAGTTGTGTAAGGTGTCCAAGCAGGCCCCAGCAATGTCGGCATGGAGAATCATGTTATTAGGGGCAAAGTCCTCCACTGACATGTTGGAGACCATGTGGAGGTCGTCTGAGTGAGGTTTGGGTACTGTGTGAACTGGTGTACTGTACATGCCAGAAAGCAAGTCTGGCCCAAATGTAGGAGAGAAACGTTCAGCCATCATTTCACTGTCTTGGTAACTCTTGATGAAAGCTCGTTCTACCTCAGAGCATGGAGGCATCCGAGAATGATCCCATGTCGTTGGGTACTCAGGTGTTGGTCTCATGTTAGCCCATGGCCAAAATCCTTCACGAAGACCTACAAGAACTGAATGCACAAAGGGACAATTGGGATGACAAACCAGGGCAGCTTTGAGAGAGTCAACCTTGATAGGTGTTACAATTTTGAAAAGATGAGGATTATCACATATCGTAGCCACAACAGCAGTATTCTCATACTCAGATGGGGGTGGCCTCGGCAATGGAGGATCTATCTCTGTGTAGGCTGCTGTTTGGCTCATGTATCGACTACGAGGTGAGAATACCAACTGCCGTTTATATCTGGGAGCATAAGAAACCAGTTCAATGTCCTCAACTCTCTCATTATACTCTTGGAAACCACTCAAGTCTGCCCATTCACAAACAAAACCTCTATAAATATCCGATGGAGGCCTCTTAGCCAGGCACTCAAGAGGAGGATCCACTCAGGTGTTTGTCAGAGGTGTGGGGACCACAGCAGATGGTGCAGACATGGTGGTACCTACATTTTGAGGCTGATGATGGACAACGTCCTGCATTCCATCGATGACAGGGATCTTGGCTGCGAGCTCGCTTGGTTCCTTTGCCTTTCCCTTGAGAGTCAATGTTGAACTCATTGAAGGCTGCTCCTGAAGAGGTGAGGTGGGACCACTCAAGGTCAGAAAACTTGGCAACATTGGAGAGCAGGACATCTCGGCATCGACCAACTCTTCCCCGTATGGCTTGATCGAGGTTGAAGATCCTAGGGTGGAATGCGACAATGTTACTGTTGAAGAGTGAGGAGATGTAGTCATGATAGGAGTCAAGCTCCTGGGCTCGATGAGGGAATGCGATGAGCACTGCTTTGCAGTATGTGTGCCAAGTTGCACTCCATTCAGATGTGGTGCAAACAGTCTTCTTAAGGTCAGAGGAAGACAATCCGTTGGTGAGTCAGATTGCAACCCTCTCAGACACAGCATGAGTCTTGACCTTGTTGATGGAGGTCGAGTGTGTTGCTGCATACACCACATCGAGATTGATAGCTCTTCCTGACAAGAGGTTCCGGACTTCTGACTCTGGGAAGTCTGGGCAAGCTGCGTTGTTGAGGAAGCTTCGTTTGGCAGACTGGATGTCGAGTGTGTATGTGTCGACCAACTGAAGGGTTCGTTGCAGCTCGGGGTGCAATATGGCTCATGTGATCTCGCTAACTGCTGCCCATGGATAGTCTCCTTCATCGACCTGCCCTCGCTGGGCATCATCTCTCTGTTCATGGTCCACATCACTCTCTCCTTCCCTCTCATCATCATCAAAATGGGATGCAGTCCTTGATCTTGCCACTCTCCTCACTTCTCCCTCTCCTTCATCTTACTGACCGTCTTCTCATTGATTGACTCCTGGTTGACCAGGGTGTAACTGTACTTCACCTCATTGATGAGCATCCTCGTTGTCTTGCTCGTGCTCAGCGAGCATGTCGAGATACATCTGTAAGGCTTGTTCCCTGTGGAAAGAGTCTCCACCCAGTTCTTGGGGTTGAGAAGCCAGTTTGTCGGCGAGGAGTCATATGGCCCTGATTTTGGTTGTGAAACCATGTCGAAAGTCCTCAACAATTGACTCGCAGCATTGAACGATGGCAGCTTGGGCTGGATCCACTGTGGGTGGGGTTCTGTCTGTTGAACTCCTGCCATTGTTAATGGGCGCTGATTGGAGGGTGGCTTGAGAGGTGGTTCCAGCCATGGTTCCAGCATTGGCATTGTCAGACATGTGGGTGAAGAGCAAAGCGATGGAAGAAACTGATGTTTATTCAACAGTTCAAGTTCTGGCATGACAATGAGAGAGTTCAGTATAGGACCAAAGGAAGTAGAACTTAGCATACCTGGCAAGATGGTGAGAGAGTTAAGAGGTCTCATCGCCTCCACCAGGGTTATATCATAGTAGTGAGACAATCTGTCATCATCTGAGATCTCAGTGGGCCACCAAGGTAGCCAGTCTCATGCTCACATAGGGAAAGGAAGGTCCTTGGTAGAGGCCTGAATACATGCTGTGAAGTGGATATGTGCTGGTAGCAGATATGTGCCCTGAGGTGGAAAGGCGACATCTGCAGGGCAGATGTGAGAGGCCAGAAAAGGGATGTCATGGTCTCTTACCAATTACCCTTGTGTAAACACCTTTAAACCTGAATATAAGGAAAGATATTGGCTTTCTCATGCTTTTTCTTTTCTGCCATGTACCACGACCATCTTGTTTCTGGTCACTTGTTCGTTTCTCATGTGATTCATCATGGTCTGTAGAGAGAATAGAGAGATTGTACACCTACACACAATAATAACTATAAATCTTTTATCAAATTATTTTTAAAGTTCCATTGAGCTTGACAGTCACTGCAAAGATCTTCTAGTTCCACTGAACTATGTTCAATGTAAGTAACCGTACCAGTTGATCAAGTGCCTGTGTTGTGCAGACTTGCAGATGCAGAGAAAACTGTGAATCAAAGGAGCAAAGCAATGTGGACATGATGTATGTATTTAAATGTTGATTTACACCCCAGACACAATGTTTGCCACAATCATTGAGAGGACTAACTACTGGTATTTATACTGTGCCAGCTCATGCAAGTATGCTTTGGTGGAATTATCAACCCTGTGGTCATCTTTGTTGCCATCCGATGCTGGCTCAGGAAAATCATCGCCGAGTACACCAATATCTTCAAGTTCAGTGAGATATTTAGGCAGGGGTTTGGCTGGGATCATACCACTTGTTACAGCAGGTGCATTGTGTACCTTTGCAACAATCTGAATGTTAAATGACCCACATTGTTGCTGTACTTTGTCATGGTAAATACAAGGAACATGATGGCACCTTTCTCCAGCTCTGATTTGATTAGATGGCACTTGTGAATGCACATAGGGTCTAACTCTGACTTTGCATTGAAGAGGCTGGCTGTGGGCACCTGTGGAATAGTGAGCAGGCTAAAAGGCAAACCTCAAAAACCCACACACACACTCACACAACTACACAAACTACAATCACCCTTGTAAGTTCTAGGGGGAGCGATTATTTCTAATGCGATCCGACTATACTTCAATATCTCGAAGAGTTTCCCTTATCCTCAGTGCTCTTAGTGAAGCTAAGCTTTCTCTAATGAAGTCCTAAGTCTAGGAACTTTTTACAGGAAGGTCATTCACTGGCACGATGCAACCTTCAAGGCAGATTTGAGTTATAATACACAAGGGACACTGATCCTGACAGAAACAGAGGCAATACATGCCAAAACTTTAGTGAGCTCACTAAAAGAACACCACAGGCAAGCACTGACTTAGCCCGCTTGCTACACAACTGTATGTAGGGGTTCTCCAACTAACTCCAGCAGGTTATCTCGACTCAAGAACACTTCAGAAGCGCTCGGAAACAGATTCAGAAACGGAACTTTGAACAGAACTGACATGGAACAGACTGAAACAGAACAGAACAGAACAGAACTCAGATTTCCACTTCAACACATTCTCCGAACAGACTTATCACACTTAACAGCACAGAAACAGTGTCACTGATTCATATTCACTCTGACTAAGTTCTCAAAAGTCTTATCAAAAGGGTATCTCGTATTTCTCTGAGTGAGCTCACTAATTCTATGCACAGCTCGAAGTCACAAACTGATCCTTTGTTACAGTACCGCCTTCAATGCGTGCATGGGAACTCGGGGGCTCAAAACTTGGCTTCTACCTACTGTAACCAGCCTACTTATACTACAGGGGAATTAGAATTACAAACGTCATGCAGTACCCAGACTCCTACATGCGTAGCATGTTGCCACTGCCACCTTACTGAGCATCCGAGTCAGACTTCCCAGTTTTAGTCTCATTTCTATAGTGAGCTCGCTAAACATGTGCCAAGAGGTGCTCTCCCGACACCTGTGGGCTTGTTCTCTAGTGACCGGCAGGTCTAGGCACCTGGAACTATCAGTCCTGGTGTATGTCATTCAAGACTTCTTTCTTGGATTCACAGAGGCTTCTCATAGACATGGCAACAAGTGAGTCTTCTAACAATGGGACTCAGAACAATGGGACATGGGCTCGCGGACTTCAGCCGAAGCCTATTGCCCAAGTTTGTGCCGGTGATATCTGTCATCTTGCTTAAGGATTTCCCTGAATTTTCAGGTATGATGCATCACAGTTAGCGAGCACGCTAAGTGTTCTCAGTGTCACTGCAATCTTCAAGGTTTTATCTAGCTCCTGCAGGCGTGCTTGTAAGTTAGAGCCTAAGGCATTGGGTATAGGGTTTGGCCTTCTCATCATGCATGCCCATCAGGTACAGTGCTGTGACTAAGTCCTGTTTAGAATCCCGTTGCTTCTTATGCCATAAGTTATATTCCATATCATTGCACTGCATAGCATTAGTGTTGACACATAGTTTTAGTCCACTCACTCACTATATCTCAGTATGCATGTAAAACACTTTAGATTGCAAAATTACACACGTAAATAGGCTGCAGTCGCAACAGCATCATACAACGGTACTGCAGATAGAATACGTTAGAGGATGTTGTGGCATGCATCAGGAAACATACTGTCCTTATTCCATGGCTGAACAGCTAACAACAGAGTCAGTAAACTGTTAAACTACAAGAGACGTGGAGCAGCACTCACCTGGTCTGAAGGTCTTACTGTTAATACATGCTTTACTGGGCAAAGGGGGTGTCGACGGATCTGTCATGATGTCAGCAAGGATTTGAGACTTTGTTAACATACATACCTTTAGGCTTGGGATACGTCGTGAACATGAGACTGTCTTGTACAGTCTTGAAGCTGAGGAGATTGCATTTAAAATCTATCCCCATTATCTCAGCTAGAACAGATGCTTGGTGAGGCCAGAACAATGCCAAAGGTTTGATCGCAATTGCGCAATTGAAGTTGCCTTTGAAGAGGCTGGAAAATGTGACTGAACTGAGCATGAAGAAGCTCTGTGGGTAGGTGTATGCACCTGTAATCCTCTTATTGTCATACTTGAAGTCTGATGGATTGCCAAGTGCCAAGTTGGTCAGGTGAGGCATTGAAGGAATGAAGGCCAGCATCATCAAGTGCCTGCCAACAGACCTTTCAGTACTGCATTGGCGAGGGCCACAAAAAAAAAACATATAGCAAGAACGGAAAGTCATTTTGAAATCTGCTAACCCAGTCATACACCTGAATATGGTCTTCTCCATATTCCATGTTGGAATCCAGGGTTTTGACATGGCATAATTTAGGGATGGCATTGACAATATCAACCCAAGGGTTATATCCACTGTTTAGGCTTAAGACATTCAAAGTGAATATAATGTAATCACAAGTGAGTTCAACAGATGTACTTTGCTGTAGTGACAACCATCTGAGTAGATTCAGAATTCTTAGACCCCTCTGCAGGGGCTTGAGTCATCTTCGATCCTGCCTGTACAGCAGGGGCAGTGCTTGCGATGTGTTAGAAACATGTACATGACCAGGAGAACAAGAACAAACCTGTCTATCTTGTCATTGACCAGCCCATCAGTGTTAGGCATAGGAGACCATGCAATCCTGTGCAACATCGTCAAGGTTAGCATCCAACTCATTAAAAGTTAGCTTACTGAGAGTTGATATCGTCCATCTCGATGTCTTCAGGCATTGAAGGGTTTGTGTCATCCATACTAAGAGAAGCGTCAGCTAGGTCAATACCATGGAATGCATGGAATCACTGATGTGCCAGACCCATCCTTGTGCTGATTGCTGTTAGAATTGCTGAAGAAGAGGGTTAGCATGGAACCTCAAAGAAAAAAAAAAGATGCAATGCATACACAGGCAACATTAGTTTTACTTTTTTCATCTTTGGCCCAGAGGGCTTACTCAATGAGTCATGTTTGGGCATGGCGAGTGTAGCTGCAGTAGGCAAACTCAGGTCAAGTCGGAATGGTGAACAATGTTCAAGGGCATTTCAGTTATAACCAGAAAGACAGGATATATGATGCTATCTGGTAGCATGTGGGTTTGCCTTCTTACAGGGCTATATCAAGAATTCTACTTCATGGACATAGTCCAAGGAGAATGTCTGTACAAACCTCCTCGGGTTTATCATCATTCAAAATTCAACACAACACATTTAATTACAGAATGGCAAGTGAGAAAGAGCTTGTATCGACCAGTGGTCCAGGTGTAATATGAAGGGTAATCACAGTAGAGTTAAGTCCATAACTAAAGCATACATGGAGTCAAAAATATTGACTCGGTTGTGCAGAGCATCCTTCCCATATAGAAGGGCCAGAGCAGCATCCCTACGCTGCCGCTGCCACCAGATACGCAGGAGGGAAAAAAACCTGTAGCATGTGGTATTATTTTGCTTTTGAGTGCGAGATGAAAGGGTCGGGTTGCATGGTTAAACAATATGACTGTCGGTTTGCTGTTCAATGTGGCTGAAAAAGCTAGAGACGGATTTCCAATGGACGGATGATGATGCAATCTGTGCCAATAGCATGTCCAACTCTCTCAGTGGTATCAGGACACTGCGGGGGCAGCAGTCACACAGAATGAGACTACCAAGTAAGGTATATTCCATTTATTGGATATGCCCAAGTGTAAATAAGGGTTCACACCCGAATGAATACCATGAGATATCTGCTGATTTGCACTGCAGTACACGATGACATGAGAGGAGGATAACAACAGTGATACATATAATACTGGTTGATTGTTTTTTTCTTCAGTCCAGACAGCCAACATGCAGGGTCTACAAAGATGCCACTGTTCAGACAGATAGATATAACTGGCTCGAATGGCTTCGGTTTGTGCGTCCATTCTACTGACAGTTTTTATGGAGAACTAAACATAAGAAACAGACCGAGAGTGACAAACAATTTTATATTCTGGGATATGACAGCTGCAGACCTGCTATGAGTCACTTGAACCAGTACGAGGAATTATGACACCATGGGGGATTTCATGAGGAGGACCTTTTTGGTAGCCCACCTGCTACTTCCCTTCTTCCAAGAGGATGAAATTCCCTGGTTCATGGCAGCACAGCACAAGTCAGGTACCATGATCATTGGATCCATCGCATTGTCTTATTTCACTTGAGACATGGTCAGCGATTGTGATTTGGACCTGCTCATCAATCGAAAGAACTCAGTTCCCATGAGCGCATTCTTGACATCAGTCAGTTATGAGCAGCACAAATTGATGGTGACATGCACTCTCGAAGAAAAGGCATATGATGAATCACCTATCGATATCAGGTTTCCAACTCTGGGCAAGGCAGCCAAGTCCATTGACATCATAAGAGTATACAGGTCAGGGGTGACAGGTCAGGTAATTTGACTCATTACATCCGTTTGAGATGAAATCGAAGTCATTTTTGGGCTTCACTCTAGTGAGTGCATAGATCTATAATACCTCTGACCTTTATTCTAACACAATGAATTTTATATAGCATGTACAATGAACTTCATAACACATGCAAGGGCATACTCGTCATATTCTAGAGCGATGCTGGAATATCATGTTTCTGCCCTGCACTTCACAATATGCACCCATGAGGCAGAAGCTCAAGTAAAATACAGACAGCGAGGCTGGATGCCCATTATCCCGTGATTCATCGCTGACAGTGACGTCTTATGGGATAGTAAACTAGACTTCCCTGAAGTCAACTGTTTCATTGGTGACCATTACACACTGCATTGGTCGTTAGTCAAAGACAGATCCATGATGATGTTAGGATGGCCAGTCCAAGAGGATGACAATACCAAGCTCAACATGCATTCATGGATGCTAAAGTATGTGGAACTGAGATGGAAGGGCACAGTCATAAGCTTTGTGGTGCTGAAGGGGAGAAAGATGGTCAAGTCATATTGTTTATCTGATGGTATGCTGGCAAAGATTGCACTGGACATGGGTACTTGGTAGGTGCAATGTTCTAACATACTAATTCATAGATGATCACACTCTAATCACATAACAGGGGCAATCTCAAAATCAGGGAATTTATAACCAACTGCCATAAAAAAGTAGTATAGTTATGTTATGCATTCAAAGTCTTTGTATTCAGGAAGTTAGCATTCAGTTTATAATAAGAACTTCAGATGTACAAGGGGGTCTATTGAAAATCTTGTCCATAAACTGATTGGATCACCACTTCAAGTTAAATTTCATACTCATACACAAGTATGGCAGCTGTTCCTCCATATGTGAGCGATATATGTTGAGGTATGCTTCATGTTCTTCATTGGGTACAGTCAAGGAGATATTCAGCTCTGAAAGCGAACCCAAGCTGCAGAGATAAAAATGGTCATCCAATGCTCTAAATGCATCATACATATGGAGTCCATCCATGACCAGTATGACGAGTTGCATCACCATTAATGCAGACGATGATATGAATATCAAGCTGTTGATACAGCTCTGCAGTTGTCTGTATGGGACAAGAACAGTACATGTTTTGAGGCGAGTCAATGTACTGAGGTCAACATATGCGTCGCCAGATTCATTGTCTGTAGATAGAATGTCTATGAGTGATTCACATGAATCGAGTGACAATGCATCACTTGCCTAGATATTCCAATATTAGATGCTGCAATGTTGTACTCGCCAAACAAACAAGATGTTGAGTGAGACATACATCTTGCATGGATAGGGCAAGCTGCAAAGTGGATACGAGGATAGGAGTCATTCGCCAAAGGACCCAATCTGCAAAATACTCATGTAACTTTATGGTGTTTGGATCATTTATATCTTCATCCGATGTTGCGACTGCAGCCTATTTACGTGTGTAATTTTGCAATCTAACGTGTTTTACATGCATACTGAGATATAGTGAGTGAGTGGACTAAAACTACATGTCGACACTAATGCTATGTGGTGCAATGATATGGAATATAACTTATGGCATAAGAAGCAATGGGATTCTAAACAGGACTTAGTCACAGCACTGTACCTGATGGGCATGCATGATGAGAAGGCCAAACCCTATACCCAATGCCTTAGGCTCTAACTTACAAGCATGCTCATGGGAGCTAGATAAAACCTTGAAGATTGCAGTGACACTGAGAATACTTAGCATGCTGATGCATTCAGTAATGGGCAGCGCACAAATGAAACAAGCATCTAGATCATCAATCTAGATACTAAATCACACACACACACTATCACCAATGTATATAAGTTCAAGGGTGAGTATGGTAGAAGCACTCGCAATGTACTTAGATTTAGATAATCTAGTGGAGTTTTGTCTGAAAACAACTTCAATTCTTCTTTTGATGTGTTTTACACAAAGTACACTAGTCCGCAATAGCGGGGTTTATGAACTTGTTTTGCAAGGTATAGTCGAGCAAGTTATACTTGTTTTGACATCATCTAGAAGAGCTTCTAGCAGACACTTCAAATAATCAAACAACCAAAGACTCCGAGGTCTACAAAGAGTGCAAAATCACTCTACAAAGAATGCACAGGTTCTGACTTCAAGTACAAGACTTGCAAAGAGTACACAGACTCTGGAGTTCCTTGAACTCGACGATTGTTCGAACTTAAAGTGTTCTAGGGCTTATTTTACTTCAACTAGATGAGGTCTTTTGACTTAAAGTCGACTCAGCACATCTAGATTGCTAATCTCAGAGTGAGAGAGAGCACGAGGCCTTTGTCCATGGAGCAGTTCAATTAACTAGCAAGGCGCAAATGCGGGGACAGCTCTACTTCCTACTTAACTCTTCTAGATTACTGTAGTTGCCCTTATGGGTTGACTTTGGTAACTTAATTCACTTCAGTCGAGGATATGCAATAAAACCAGTGATTGATTAGGTAGCTATACAGGCTACTAGCACAAACGTGGGGGAATGCTTTCCTGCCGTTATGCGTCTAGTTGCTGCTAATTTATACAATTCGTGTTCTAGGTATAGGAGCCCGTATCTACAGTAATTATGGTACGAGCTTTGGAATTAATACAAACAGTGAGTCACTATCCTACAAGTATTGCGCCATTCCATAGTTTCTATTCAGTTTGACACGACTGCACCGGGTTATTCTGTCACTGAGGAGTGCCCTACTGGTCCATGGATGCTCCTTCTTCCGTCTGCAAGGCTTGCTGTGTGCCGTATGTATTGAATACTGTGGTCTGCACAGGATCTCGAGGATGTAACCACCGATCGCGATCAGCTGCAGGTCTGAGATTATATTCTGTTGATCACTGCACAATCAAGGTCAGTCATCTTGGTACCCAATGTGGCTATTCATTCTTCCAAGGTTATTCCTTTCCTAGCCTGAGTTGATCTCGAAAGCTGATCTGTTTCTTGACTTAGCAATTTTTCTTGACAGGTTCTTTCTACTCGTTGAGATGACGAGGCATCTAGTTCATTCCATTCTTCAACTTCTTGGTTTTTATACTTCATACAGACGAGTCCCCAAGATTTGACTGTAATAGTCTTGTTTAGGTAGGGCTTAGCTTGGCATGTTGATGGCTGGTAGAATTCACTCTTTGAGATGTCATTTCTAAGTCCATTCTGTACTGCCATGCTTTCATTCTTTATGTAGTATTTAGCTACCAGCATGAAGCCTCCACTGTAGCTCTCTGTACCGCTTGTAGATTGCATAAACTGATGTAAAATTGCAAAATCTATGGGTAGCCTGATACCAGGCATATCAGCGCTCACTAACTGTGATGTGTCGTACCTGAAAATCTGGGGAAATCCTTAAGCGAGATGACAGATATCACTGGCACAAACTGGGGCAATGGGCTTTGGCCGAAGTTCACGAGCCCACTTCCCATTGTTCTGAGTCCCATTGTTAGAAGACTCACTTGTTGCCATGTCTATGAGAAGCCTCTGTGAATCCAAGAAAGAAGTCTTGAATGACATACACCAGGACTGATAGTTCCATGCACCTAGACTTGTCAGTCACTAGAGAACAAGCCCACGGGTGTCGGGAGAGCACCTCTTGGCACACATTTAGTGAGCTCACTATAGAAATGAGACTAAAACTGGGAAGTCCGACTCGGATGCTCAGTAAGGTGGCAGTGGCAACATGCTACACATGTAGGAGTCTGGGTACTGCACGACGTTTGTAATTCTAATTCCCCTGTAGTATAAGTAGGCTGGTTACAGTAGGTAGAAGCCAAGTTTCGAGCCCCCGAGTTCCAGTGCACACATTGAAGGTGGTGCTGTAGCAAAGGATCAGTTTGTGACTTTGAGCTTTGCATAGAGTTAGCGAGCTCACTCAGAGAAATATGAGATACCCTTGAGAAAAGACTTTTTGTGCACTTAGTTCTGAGAGAATAAGAATCAGTGAAGCTGTTCTGTTCCATTGAGTGTTGATAAGTCTGTTCGAAGTATGTTCTGAAGAGGAAAAGTGAGATCTGATCTGATCTGATCTGTCTGTTCTGTTCTGTTTCTGTTCAGTCTGTTATGCATCAGTTCTGTTTCAAGTTTCCATTTTCTGAATCTGTTTCTGAGCACTTCTGAAGTGTTCTTGAGTCGAGATCATCTGTTGAAGTTAGTTGGAGAACCCCTACATACAGTTGTGTAGCAAGCGGGCTAAGTCAGTGCTTGCCTGTGGTGTTCTTTTAGTGAGCTCACTAAAGTTTCAGCATGTATTGCCTCTGTTTCTGTCAGGATCAGTGTCCCTTGTGTATTTTAACTCAAATCTGCCTTGAAGGTTGCATCATGCCAGTGAACAACCTTCCTGTAAAAGTTCCTAGACTTAGGGATTCATTTGAGAAAGCTTAGCTTTGCTAAGAGTGCTGAGAATAAGAGAAACTCTTCAAGATATTGAAGTATAGTCAGATTGCATTAGAAATAATTGCTCCCTCTAGAACTTACAAGAGTGATTGTAGTTTGTGTAGTTGTGTGAGTGTGTGTGTGGGTTTTTGAGGTTCGCCTTTTAGCCTGCTCACTATTCCACAGGTGCCCACAGCCAGCCTCTTCAACGTTTAACTACTCGATTTACTGTGAGGATCAATGTATCCACGTTGCATAGCAAGGAGGAAAGAATTATGTGATCGAGCCTTGGACATGTCATGGCTAGGACATTAAAAGTGCAAGGAGTAGACCAAGTATCCATGGGCTTATCTGAACTTTCCATTGTTCATGAGGGAGTGTTTCTCCATAGAAACTATTCCCTGTTCTATGCTGGACAAGGTGATGAGTTGATGTGATATTTCATACAAAATAGGTTTTTGTGAAAAAAAAAAAATGGATAGAAGATCCTTGGTATGCCCACAGTGATCAATAAGGACCAAATGGAAGCCAGCAGATTAAACCATAGATAATTTAGCAGGCAATTACAAATTAAACTACCCACTCATAGACAGGATACATATAAGATCTAACATTGAGTGGCAATAGCACTAGGAACTGTATCCATACTGCACCATGTCATTCACTCAATATGCTGTGACTATCTCTAACTTAAAGTCAATCATGGGCGATGAAACCCTCAGTGAGTCACCATGACCCATGTTAAGCTCATATCTGAACTGTGATGCAGGGACCGAATATTATGATGTGATCACATTCTGCAGTAATAGCTTGTCTCAGCTTGCAGGTTACGGAGATATCCAGCAACTGCTAGCTGAGACTATGGTCAACTCTGAATCTCAGCTGGACACTTCATTCATTGTTAGCCAAGATTCATGGGAAGAGATGGTCTTTCATATGCAAGGAATTATTCTCAAAGTTGCTCTCCCTCCCCATGCGAGGAAATACGAACAACCAATGGTCAGACTATTCAATACAACATGTACACGAGGTTCTGACATCTATGTAGGGTAGCCATCAATCAACTACAACAAACCATCACTATAGTTGGACTGGAAGGAGACCATCAGTTCACCGATGCATTGGTGGCAATTAGTTGTATGCTCGACCTACTGAGCCAATCAGAGGCAAATTGCATATGGACATCACAGCAGATGTGAATGGGCAATGGTGCCCAAGTCACCTTTTGCAACCAGTTACTAACCCTGTTGTATATGGTCAACAAAGAAGATGTGGTGGTATTACCTACCATGGTTGATCCTCACAACATGCTGTCAAAGGAGCTCCAGCCCAACAAATTCTCGTTTACAGAGAATTCTAAGATGTCACTGGAAAAATATAATTGGACATCTGATGGCCAGTAAGTAAATCATTTTACAACCATTCAATATTGGCTGATAGAATACACATAGGTACATTCACACCACTGACCTTGATCCTTGTACTTTCTGCCCAGGCCAGATCATTAACATAGGCATATCATTCTGCTTATGCAAGCATGGAAATGGCATGTCATTTGTTCAGCATCTGGATAGTATGGCACTGATGTCAACCATGGGAGCACCTGTAAGAGAATAGTCTTTTCATCTACTGGATGAGCCAACTCACAGCAATATTTAGCTGGTACAATCTGCAGAAATGGCCAGTAGAAACCATGAAGTGAGATGACCATTGCCCTGCAAACATAGACAAGAAATTCTCAAGATGACATAGATCATATTGCAAAGACTTTAGTTCACCACTCTTATTATGCAATAAAAGTAAACATTATATTTATATTATAATCAATTTTGTTTTGTTTTTTTCATGGAGGGGAGGAAAGCAATGGAGATAAATTTTCAACATGTGTATAAAAAACAACCCAGCCTGACCATTTACCCATATCAACACCTACTCAGCCAGCCCTGACTTGGGGCTTGAATCCACATGCTTATCCAAAAAGACAGTCCACACTTTGTGTACATTCTGAGCCTCATCCCATTCTGGTCCTTTCGCAGTCTCTATCCATCTTGCAAGCCCTTCCACTTGTCTCAAGATGTAGTAAATGTTTTCAAGAGCTTCACATAGCTCATGCAATGCAGTCAAGAGGGGAAATGACCAGGTCTATCCTAACAGGACTGATGACATATTAGCAAATGCGTCGTTGAGCGAGCTGTCGATCATGATGAAATCCATGGGGCTGGGCACAGAGGAGGGGTAAGCCAGAACAGAATGAGGGTAGGTGCTGGAGACTGATTTGAAGGCAGGTGTGTCCGACCACCCATCTGACCTCTGCCCCATGTTGGATGTGTTGGATGATGAAGGTGGATGAGTGTCTAGCACATGCACACCAGATACAGTTACGGCTTTGTTGTCGACTGAACTAATATGGATACCCTTGGGAGCTTGTGATATGGTCATTTCAGTCAAGCCCTGCTTATCATTTACAGTCAACACAGTTGTATACCACGCATTCATGAGAATAAAGCTCTACATCCAAACCTGAGAGAAGAGTATACAAGTCGGTTGCATTCATGGTGGTGGACAATGAGAAAGAATTGACAACAATTGAGCATCAAAAGTACAGTGTATCACTGTACATGACAACATCTGATCGACATTCTCAAAGTGTGTCTGTGCCAAAATTGTGTGAGAGCTTTCTATTCGGTATATGTAAGGCTGAGACCTAGAGTTGACTGTTGCCACAATGACCCAATTCTGTGAGAAATATGAATTGCTACCCTGACAAATGAAGGGATCACTAACTGTGCTTCCTTGGGCCAAAGTTGTAGTGATATTGGACTGCTGCATGACTGTCTATCGGAAGGCAGTTCATCGTTGCTCTCCATGTATGCAATAGACAAGGCATCATGAGGTTGTATGCAAACATATGTGCAAAAAGAAAGATAGCCTTGTATGCCTGGCATGACATATAAATGATGCAACCTACAGCACAGCATCAACCTTACCTATCAACGACTTAAGGCGATGGTTTCCAGAACTGTGAAGGACAGAAAAGGTGTTTGGGGACTTGTGAAGTCCTAAAACGCCTTGTCTCCAAAAGTCTGAAAGATTTCAGACCTTCGGAGAAAGGGCAATGTGTGCCATATCCCATTAGAGAATCTGATTCCCATGGGTTCTCTTTTTTTCCCTGTCCTCCATCGCGATCAAATGTAAGTGGATTCAACATGTCCAACATGTTTGTATTATAAACGTAACATGTAGAGCATTTTGAGAGAATGAAAATATGCTGCAAGATAATGAAGCTGAATGACATGAATGGCATTGTAACATGGATCACATGTTTCTTGATCTTGAGGCAGCAATTGACAATGATGCATTGGAGGAAGATGATGATAGTGATGACAAGGTAGCAGGTATGTCATATATCAACAAGTCCTGTATACCATGCCAATGTAACATAGATTTCATTGATGACACCAAGTCAACTAATGAGATATGAACTACTGCCAAGTCTGTATATAAAGAGCATGAAAGAGATGGATTTGATGAAATAATAAGTGGAATTGCAGAAAGATGGATATCATCTGGAAGCGGGAGACAAGAACTCAACAAGAACTCATTGAGTGTGGACTATCAGTTGGGCACCACTGCCAATATTCATGAGTTCAACAAAAATGACTATCCATTATGGAGGGTATGATGTGGAGTGAGTACGTTTCATATGTTCAGCACAGTTTATTGAATGCATCCAGCGCTTCTGAGAATACAAAGCTATACACCACATCATGAGTAACACTGGAAGACATGTCAGCATCCAATCCATCCTTTACTGCAACAGCTTATGGGGATGGATATACATGGAAGCACCTTATAACAAGGCAGTAAGATCATTTCTTCTCATGACACCTGGAGTTCAGAAAATGGGAGATGCCCTGCCATGGTGGCTCAGAGTTGAAGCAATAGACATCGCAGAATGGGAGATAGTACTCTGAGAGGATGATCACATCAAGCATCTCCTTCAAGCAGGTTCTTGGGTTCGTGTCAAACATGGGACATATTGAGGCGACGTCGGTGTTATATGAAGTTACACCAGGACATGTCGTGGTGTTGCTTATTCCTCAATTGAGCCTCAAACTACCTATCAACCAAGGTAAATGCTGACACTGACAGGAGCGACCAGCTGTATCCTATCTGTTTAATCCATTGCATTTTCATGACAGTGCTGACATGACCAACCACGAGCCATCATCAGGTCAAGCTGTTACAACCTTTCATGGTCATAAGCTACTAGAAGGATTTCTGCTGAAGAAGATATCCTCTTATGGAATCAAGGAAGCCACCAGTATAGATCTGTCTGTTGCAGGTATATTTCTGACTAGCAATCTACCAGAAGTACATGAATGGACATGAAACATGCCTCTGCCTAATGGGTGGGTATTTGATACTGATGAATGGGTGATAATCAGGTCATTAGGCTTGAGCAGCACAGTGATCAAATCCATGCAAGATTGCATATAAGTGTGGGATGCGAGTACATCAACAGCCATTGAGACAACCTACTGGGACCTGTGCAAGGATTTTTCACCAGGAGATTTCATTGTAGCCACTGTAGATGCACTCAAAGGACATCAAGGATGGGTCATTGAGGTGCATGAGTTAAACAATATTGAAGTAGTTGTTCTAGAATGGAACACTGACAGGAACCAAATGACGATAGAGGTAAGCTATTAAAGGAACACTCACAGTCAAGCTGATCCCTCTAAAGTTCTTCACCACCCACATCAATTCAAGCCATTGAGGTGCACCATCTGATAAAACATATGCCTTCCTTCAACCTAACAACACATGCGAACTAGGAGACCAGAAACAAATATGTGAAGTGCCATGGAAAGGTATACAAGTAAACATTTCGATACCTGGGCATAAAAAGAAAGGCAGAACTGTAGAAGACATCGTATTAGATCCAAAGATTCAGAGCAGCATCAAGGTGACAGTCCGTTACGACGCAGTGTACAATCCCAATAGACCATACCATACAGAGGGTGTACCCTACGAATACATTACAGAATGCAGGTTAGTGGTCCAGTTTACTCTTTGAAGTATTGACACTGATTGACCTTCAAGATCGCAATGGCCTCTATATTCATACTGCCCATTGTGGCCAAACAAGATGATGTACTGCCCATGAGCAGAAACACTCATGCATGAGAGAAAGCTGTTCGATAGCCACATGCTACTGAGCAAGATAACAAACCTGCAAGAAAGAGAGAGAAGCACATCACCAGTTCGTGGATGCACACCACCTTTCAAGGGAGAACATCCACCATCCTCTGAAATTATCACAATGGAAGATGCAGCATGGAATCCAAGGGCAAATGAAGGTGAGACCCTTCCAAAGGATCACTGGATATACAATGAGGTATTCAAGGGAAAGCAACTTGTGGTCAAGGCAGACAGGGTAGAGAAAATCATATGGACAGAAAGGGACAGAAAAGAGGTCATCCTGTGGTATCGAATTGGACATGCTACAAAAGTATTGAAACCAAAAACACTGGTACCCTCTCATCCTACACTTTGAGACACCAACATCTTCGTTATCATACATGGGGAACATGTGGGGAAGGTAGTCCGGCCTCAATGGTTCAACAAGAATGCGACTGGTCATAAGTTCCAGGTAGCTGTTGTCATGCAGAACAAAGGTACACCTGATGTTCTGACAGGGGAGGAGCTGGACATAGAGTTGAAGGACATGACAAAGTTGGCGGAATCAAAAGAAGAAGCGAAGATGAACACAACACTCAAAAACACAATTATTGTAACTGTACAGAAGAACAGACGTCCCCTGAAATAATATACTGCTACTGTATTGATAGGACATATACCACAAAATGTGCTGTTTTTGAACCAAGTCTGTTCAGATTAAGTCTATTCAGTGATATACTGCAAAGTAGACCATCTTCCTTCATCCCGTCATGCTCATAAGACGTATTCAGCAGAAATATATGTGACGCAAAGTGATTTGCACCAAAATAGATGATGAATGTCAATACATATGCCTGCATGCCTCCCTGAACAGGTACCATGAGTTCAGGACTAATAGAAGTTCAGGCAGTGTACTCTGGCCAGAGCTGAAAAGACAATAGAGGAGGCAGGGCTTTGAACATTGCACTATATTGCATATATCCGGTGCATCTGTGCACCAATATAGCATGTTCAGATACTGGCTGGAAGTTTCTACCATTTCTCGAATGAAACAACAACAAGGCTGTTAACCAATCTTGCATAGACGCTGTAGATGTGGAAGCGGCAGGCTTGCCAGTCTGCATCCATACCAAAGGACCGCATATGCCCAGGAAAGACATTTTCGCATCTGGCAGGATAACACGACAACCTCTATCGCAGCAAATGTAGGGAAGAATATTTTGCTCCTGATCTCCATGCATGGTGTTGGCCAGGTCAGCTACACTCACCATTGATTCTCCAAACTGATGGAAACTTTGAGGGTATTGAGCAGACAAAAGATCATGTACCTGATCCCGACCAGCATCAAGCAGTGTAAATCAGGCTCATCCTCCATTAACGCCTATAGAATGGAAGACAATGCCCACTAGACTCATCACCTCAGTGGAGGCTACTCACTCATCTCACCAAGCAGCATTCTGAGACCAATATAGGTAGAATAAAGGCATCAACAAAGAATCATATGCACATGACCAATTCTTGTGATCCCACTTGCACCCATATAACATGTACTCACGCATCATGCCATCTTTCTTTTGTCACTTAGAACTACCACAATCATCATCATCTTCCCTGGCATGTTTCTTGATCTTGACCTCATACTCAACCTCATAAGGGTTGGCAGCATATTCTTCGATTTCTATGATCTCACCTTCTTTGAACCCATTGTGGACAAGGGTATTGTGAGCAATGTTCTCGAACTTCTTCATCTCCAATTTGTGATCCAACAGCAGTGGTTTATTCAGGTCAGATAATGTCACCTTATCTACAATGAAAAGTCCATTTCTATTGGTCACATGTGATGCAGCCACATACGCCAGATACCTGCCTTCACTGAGATACATCAAAATACCATCAGGCATTGTCTGGCCTTGGGCTACATGACCCGTCAAGGCAAAACCTGGCTGGATAGACACTTGTTCACATGTAACTGTGACAAACTCATGTTTACCAGACTCACCAAGCATCTTGTGCTTGAACATCCAAGACACTGGCTTTATGGGAAAGTATCCCTCAGGGAGACCAGAAAGCTTGACTTTCAAAGAGGGGAACTCTACAGTAACTGCAACAAGATAAATCAAGTTGTACAGATCATTAGCTAATTTGAGATGATGAATGTAACCTTGTGCCCCATTTGTTATTTTCAAGTCCATTGATATATTCCGATACCACAGAATCACAGGCATGCCTACATAGAACAGGAGCATGCCAGGCAACCCCCCCTGATTGATCAAGGCAGAAACATCTTGGTTGAGGAGAACCTGTCTGTATTGCTCAGGAACAATATGTCCATTTACCTTGTCCAATGCAGCACAATTAAACAGATGAGTTTCAGGGACTTTGCTAATAGCCTTGTAACAGTTAATTGCATGGTGAAGAAAATTTGTGGTCACAATAGCTACAGCCTTGTTGTGTACAGGCATGCTCATATCTATTCCCTGAGGATGAGTTTGAACATATAACGCATTCATTAAATAAGTCAACATCTTTCTGAGTGCACACTCTTTTGCGTAAATGAGTGACAGCTCAACCATATTCTTCATCTACTTCCATTCTTTTCTGGCAATGCAAGAACATGGCATCCATAATCGAGTTCCATGCCATGCGTCCAAGTCGCTTGTTGAGGTTCTCGTGATCCACCTTCTGGTTGTGAGTAGCTCATGCATAGACAGGAGACCCTCCAATGGGCAGATATTGATACAAATCCCCACTGAAGATAACCATCATACCACCAAACCACCAATTCAGTTGGTTCTTGCCATAGTGGCAAGCTGCATTGATCTCTGGTAGAAGTTCCTGTTGCAGCATGGAGACTTCATCTATGATGATGATGTCTACATCCTTCAGCTGTTCCCTCAGCTGATTTTGTCCCTTCACAGTCATCATCACATACAGGGCATCTTTTCCACCAAGGGTCTTATTGATGTGTTTGGACACCTTGCTAGTTATGTGCAATTCAAAAGCTTTATGTAGTGTCGTACCATCGTTGATGGAAGCTGCTGCTCCTGTGGGAGCCATGAAGCAGATAGCATGGGCAGATCCAAATGCAGCCATAACTTCAGTAAGAGCCTGAACAACATAAGTCTTTCCTGTACCACCTGGGCTCATCAAGAACAACCTCAAAAGAAAAGACTCCACAGCTGACAGAGTCAGGGAGTCCTGCAAAAATTTTCATTTCACATATGTGACAGCCATCAAACGAAAAGCATGTTCCTGTTCAAGATTCAGCTTATACTTAGTAACTGTGGAATTCATCAGCTCTAGCATGGTCTGCCTCTTCTGAGCAGCTTGAGACAATGTGGATCACACGCCAACAATTTCGGGCAACACAAACATGGACAGTGCATCTTTATCCTGCTCATTGTTATTGAGCACCAAATCATTTGTAATAGACCGAATGGACATTATTGGTCCACCAGCTGTCTGCTCCTGAACATTACCCATGTTAAGCCTGGATGCCATCACTCATGCTTCCTGATGTTTGATCTCTGGATGCCAATCGTTCATCATGGCAGGTGTAACTCTCAACCCAGATGACAGCAAGGAGCTAGATGCAAAACTTGACCCCATGCATGGAATCTCTCAGGAACACATGAAAAAATTGGCCTCTCCCAATCGCATGAGCTGCACATGCACCTTAGAATCATGTGCTTTCTCTGAATCAGTCTTACCAGTAAGCTCAACCAAACTCTCCAAATCCTTATGTGCAAACATGTTCGTGACCAGTTGAGAATTCCTAATGAGCGCCTGCTGCTTTTGCAAGTGATCAGCCTCTCTCTCATCCTCACACTCATGCATGGCTTCCCAATTGAACATACATTGTATTGCTCATGCACTAAACTCGTATGTGCTGAATACTCCTGAAACTGACTCAGTAGGACGCAATTATGGGACACTAAGATGGAAGGGCTTGAAGTGCATGAGCATGAACAATGCATAGATGGCATCTGTTGACCTAGGTAATTTATGACCAACAATCCTAGGTACTCTCTTGGTACGATATGCGTATTTGTGCATAGATGTGTGTTCGACAATCTCATGTGTCTTATGTAAAGTATAGTGAGGGAGAAACTCATAACAAGGCAAACAAGTTGACCTGTGTCCCTGTTCATATTCCCTGCAAGAATCTTTGGTGGAGTGATCGACCTTACGATCTACTCTGAATCTCACTACAAAATCATAAAATGAGACATCTAATAAGTCGGGATTACGATGAAGGTAATCTTGTATCTGAGACCTCTTCAACAAATTTCCATGTTCATCCATGTGGAGTGTAAGGAACGTGTCCTCCACTTCCTCATCCCCATCAATGTCACCGTCCTGACAGTATCATCATGCATGTTCCATTAGAATGCCTGATAACATAGGCACCATCTTGTGTGATCAAGATACCTCTTCTTTGCCTCTAATAACTCTGGCTGCTTGCTGTGCATGGATCTGTTGCTGCTTTGAATATTGTGACAAGCATTTGTGAACAATGGTCCATGCTTGCAACTTTACATCACTAGTTGATCCAGTAGTGTGAGCACAAAGGACAGTGTCCACTAATAAAGTCAACAGCTCATATGTCTTAACACTCATTTTCATTATATAATCTGTGATATAAAACATGGCAGCCTTGCATGATTTCCCCAATAAAACAAACCTCAAGTCATGGTTGAAACGACCAAATATGAGTATCAATCAATTGTAATAATTGACCCAAACATCACGGCATGCAAGAATGACCACCTTTAATTCAGGATCATAGAACGAGTTGGATACACAGTCATGAGGAAACTGAAAACGACATGTACTATGGTCATATTTGTAACATACAGCTTTATGCAAATGATGCTGAAGATGCTCTCTCATGTACTTGACCTCCTGCTCTACTACAGATCAAAAATGATCCCATTCCTCAGTAGTCACATCATCACTAGGCATGATGGGAGGCATTTCTGTCCTCAGACTACCATCCGGATTGAAAGGAATACCTTCTGGTAGATCATGCACAATGAGGTCATCAATAAAAGCAAAAAACCAATCTTGAAACTCCACAGACTCCTCCAATTTCTTGTGAAGCTCTGTAGGATTCATACCTCTCTTCAATACCGGCAAGAAATGTCCATGATATGCCCCACAACCTGTCAGTTCGTCTGTACCATAGAATGCTTCCAAATGACCAAGGATACCTCTGGCCTCTGTGGACATCTCCTTGTCAAAATCCCATCAAAACATATATTAGAACAAACATCAAACCACAAAATCAAAGAAGTCCATACCGGTTACTGGATCCTGGGCAAGCTGGAGCCCTTGCTGGGCATATTCTGCAATTCGAGGATAACGCGCATCCAAGTCAACAGTCTTGTCACCCCACATAAACTGAAAAATAGGACTATGTGTGGGAGCTGGATTTGCCATAGAAAAGAGATGAAATAGTTCAAAATGCCCCACATACACTCTTATCTTGTTCTGATAAAAAATCTTCGATGCCTTGGAGCCAGTTATCTTGCCTGCTATGGCTTTCACCTCTCCCAAGAGAGTAAACAATTTTTGCTGCTCTGACGAAAGGTCTTGTATATGTTCCTCATGTTCCAGATGCTGGGTGACCACCCTTATGGTATCTGGTTTAATGGATGCTATATCATCTGCCACATGATCGAATCTGTCTGATTTTATGGCAAAATGAGTGAAGAGATGAGCCTGTCTCTGTTGGATCATATTCATAGCAACAAAGATGAACGCATTGTGATATCTAAAATCTCTGCATACGATATCCAAGTAGTAATTGCACTGAGAATGAAAAGACAAGGCTGTTGGCCATTCAGCATCTTTGAAACCTCCGATCCCAAATGGAAAAAGAGTAGGAAACATGCCCATCATCAAGTCTGGATTATTGTATTTGTTGACAGGTTGATTGCCATGAAAGATCACCACATCTGGCTTCTTACCAGATTTAACCAAGTTGTTGAGGGCCAAGGCGACAAATGTTCCTCCATGGATCTTCACAGACTCAATGTCTGATACCCCCATACAGTCAAGCAAACAGGCACTTTCATCGTCATCATCCAAGTCAATGTCCTTCATCGCATTGGAAACATAGTGGGGCTCAAGACCAGCAGTTTCCTCCTCGAAGATGTCTGCTTGAGATTTATACTCAAACTGGAATGCATAATCTTCAAGACCAGGTATGATATTATCAATATCATCAAACCATTGTTGCAACTGCAGCCTATTTACGTGTGTAATTTTGCAATCTAAAGTGTTTTACATGCATACTGAGATATAGTGAGCGAGCGGACTAAAACTACGTGTCAACACTAATGCTATGTGGTGCAATGATATGGAATATAACTTATGGCATAAGAAGCAACGGGATTCTGTTAGCGACTGATTACACAAACAAGATCAAACAACTAAGCGTGACTCGCACTTCGGTCAGGCGCTTTATGTTGTCTGCAGGTTTGCATGCAGGGAGCTACCGCTTAGCGAATCGAGAGTGAGTTCAGACTGAGTTATCGGGTGAATAAACTTTAGTTCAAGACTGAGGTTTAAGACCTGCAGTCGAGCTTCTTAAATACAGTTTGGGTTGTGCTAAATATACTACAAGAGTCTGCAACGGTGCGTTAAGCACCCAGTACCTGCATGGTGTGGTGCGATCAGAGTCGGAGAATTAGTACATAGGTATTATGAGAGAGTTGATAAGATAAGATAAGGTGCAAAATCGTAATATTACCCCCCTGTTAAGGCAGTCATCCTGACTGCGGGATATCTTGACTTGGGAAGATAGGCTCCTAGAAGAGAGGGTGTGTTTGGTTTTATCAGGTACTCTTGAATTGCCTGTACCAATGGATGGTCTATCTCGGATTCGGTTACTGATTCGGTTTCTGTCCAAGAATCCGATTCATCCTCGTTTTCCCACCACTCTGCTGGGGGTCGGGTGATGAACAAGATTTGTTCGAAGTCTTCGATGGCCTCTCTTGCATTGTCCAATTCTTGCTCATCTACCCAGGAATTTTCTTCTCATGGATATCCTTTCCATTTGATGAGGTATTCGATCTTGGTGTGTCGCTTATGACCTCATCCCATTGTGCGCTCCCTTCGGTCTACTATTTCCTCAACTTCATACTGTTCCTGTCCATCTATCAAGTCTGGCAGAGGCGCCGTGGGCTGTACTTGGATTGGGAACTCTGGTGGATGATATGGGGTTAACAAACGTTCATTGAACCGATTGTGAATCTTCCAACTGGCCGGTAGTTTTAGCTCGTAAGCGGAGGCGCCCTTTTTGGACAATATTTCGAAGGGTCCTACATGTTTGTCTCTGAGCTTTTTCATTGGGCAAGGGAGATGAAGATTGGTAGAGTCTAACCAGACTTTGTCTCCTGTTTGATATTCCTCTGCCAGTTGTTGGTGCTTGTCATATTGTCATTTCATCGCCTCTGCTGCTTTCTCCAGAGCTGCTGCTGTTTGCTCATGTATTTTTTGTATGTCAGCAACAAAATCTCTGGCAGCCGGGTTTGTTCCTTCCTTGATGGTGAACGGTGCGAGATGAGGTTTTTGACCATGATTTATCTCAAATGGGGAGTATCCGGTAGCGGAGTGTTTGCAATTGTTATGTTGGAATGCAGCGAGGGGTAACCAGTCGCTCCAGTCGTTCTGCCTGTGGTTTATGAAGATTCGAAGATATTTTTCAATCTCCTGGTTCGCTCGTTCGGTCTGTCCATTGGTTTGGGGGTGATACGCCGTGGACGGGTTTCCTTGGATGTGCAGCATTTCATACAGTTCCTTCATAAATTTGGATACAAACTGGGGTCCTCGGTCTGAGATAACCTTTTGGGGCATTCCGTGTTTTGCCCAAACATGATCGCGAAGTATCTTGGCCCACCCTGCAGAGGTTAACTCTGTGGAACAGGGAATCAGTATGACTTCTTTGGAGAAGCGATCGATGATGACAAGGATAGTGTTATACCCGTGGGAGTCTGGTAGTTCACCTATCATGTCTACAGTGATATGTTCCCATGGTCACGAGGGTATCGAGTGGGGGTGTAAAGGTGCTCTTCTCCTCTGGGTGTTTGTCTTGGCTCGCTGACAGGCTTGGCAGCCTTTAACGTACCTTTCCACGTCTTGCTTGAGTTTTGGCCACCAGTATTCTCGTTGCACCAGTTCCTTGGTCTTTTCGATACCTGGGTGTCCCGCAGTGATATGATCGTGATGGATGGCTATTAGTTCCCCTCGGAGTTTGGTGTCTTGGGGTACATATAGTCGTCCATCATAGTGCATCAACCCTTCCTTTTGAGTTATGCCTCACGGGTGGTGGAGGGATGCCTCTATTCCCTTATCCCACTTGGTTACATCTCGTAATGCTGTTCGGATTTTCTTGTGTATCTCCTCTTCTCCCAGCATGATGAGAGCGCAGAACATTTCTGGCTTTAAGACCACTAGCTCTTCGTTATTGCCTGCCCCCTGATCATGGTCTGCCCTTCAGGACAATAAATCTGCTTTCTTGTTTGCTGTCCCTGGTTTGTGGTGTAACGTGAAATGGTATTCTGCGAGTTCCATCACCCACCGAGCTTGGCGACGGTTGAGTTTCTGCGGCTTTCGGAAGTATTGTAGATTTTGATGATCTGTCCAGATCTCGAAATCTTGGTGAGCTCCCATGAGATAGTGTCTCCAGTCTTCCAACGCCAACATGATTGCTAGAAGCTCTTTGTCGTAAATTTCGTAATTCCGTTCTGTGACCATCAGGGCTTTCGACAAGAATGCTACTGGCCTCCACTTTCCTTCCTGTTCTTGTGATAGGACCGCTCCTATGGCTCCTTCGCTTGCGTCCGCCTCTACTCGATATTTTCCTGTTCAATTGGGTATTGCCAATACGACTTCCTCTGCTAGCTTCCTTTTTATTTCTCAGAAAGCGTTCTCTTGTGATATCCCCCATGTCCAGTCTACTTTTCCCATGAGTTGTGTGAGGGGTCGCACGTGCTTGCTGTAGTCCCGGATGAACCTTTGATAGAAGTTGGTGAACCCTAGAAACGATTGTAGTTCTCATTTTTTGGTAGGTTGGGGCCACTCCATGATTCCTTTGACCTTTACAGGGTCCATGCGAATAGCTCCTTGGCTAATGATTACTCCGAGGTATTCAGTTTCTAAAACCTCAAATTCGCACTTCTCCGCTTTTAGGAATAGATTGTTGGCACAGAGGATTGTCAGGACTTCTTGTACAACGGTTCAATGTCTATCCTGGTCCTTTGTGCAGATTAGAATGTCGTCCAGGTATACGGTGACCTCTCCTTGGGCTATCTGCTCCTTGAATAAGTTGTTCATCATCCATTGGAACGTTGCCGGTGAGTTGGTGAGTCCAAAGAACATCACCATTGGCTCAAACAGTCCCCGGTTCATTCAGAATGCTGCCTTCCACTCATCTCCTCCTTTAATGCGTACGTTGTTGTACCCCCACCTTACGTCCAACTTGGTGAAGTATTTGGCGTCCTTGAGCTGATCCATCAGTTCTCTGATGAGAGGGAGGGGATATCGGTTTTTTATGGTCATCTCATTTAGCTTTCAGTAATCTTGTATGGGCTGAAGCTTTCCATCCTTCTTTTTGACAAAGAAGAAGGGGGACGCCATAGGGGATTTGGAAGGTCGGATCCTTCCCGATTCTAGGTTTTCGTCAAGAAACTTGTCCAGTTCTTCCTGCTCCATGGGGTTAAGGGGATAGACCTTACAGTCTAGGCTTGCAGTTGTGTTTGGGATGAGTTCAATGGCATGGTCCCATGGTTTTCGGGGTGGTAGCTCGTCAAAGTTTTCTTTGGCAAATACGTCACGAAATTCCTGGTAGGGTTCCGGTACTATTTCTTCAAACGTTTTTGCTTCTTTTGCTTGGTTGGCTTTGGCAGCTAGCTCATTTGCCTTGCTTCCCATTGCTCGCACGTGAAAGGCTTCTTTGAAGTCTATGATGAGGATAGTGTCCCCTTCTTCTACTTCCATTCCCCAGTGTTGTTTGGGATCTTCATCAGGTAGTAGAAAGGGTATTTTTCGGCATGAGCATCGTACCAGGGATACAGCCCCCATTTTCCAGTCGATAATTGGATTGTGTTGCTTGAGCCAATCATGTCCCAGGAATAATGATACGTTTCCTAGGTCTACGACTGCGAGATTGATTTTCTCATGATGGTCTCCGATGGTCATGCATAGCTCCACAATTTCAGTAATGTCTCCTCCTTTGTTTCTGCTCCCATCCGCATTGTATACTGCTTGTGCCTTTGGTAGTTTTACCGTATTCATTTGGTGTTCTTGTATGAACGCCCGGTTTATGCAACTCCTGGTGCATCTGCTGTCTACCAAGGCGTCGACTGCTCGTACTTGACTGGTGTCCAGGGTCTCGAGTTGTACACGGATGTTAACGCTTCTTCCCTTGCCTCCTCGGATGTATTGCGGAGGAATGTGCAAGTCCTCCATATTTTGCAGGCACTGCTCCCACTGTTTGTAGCTTTCCCGGACCGATCCTATGAGGTCTAGGACTAAGTCCTCGTCTACTTCTATCAGTCGCCTTGGGTGTACCCACATGCGAAGGGTGGCGAGTTTTCCTTCCATTGACTTTTCCTGTCTCATCTTTCACCTTACCCACTCCACGCTATGGGGTTTGAGCCACCCCTTATCCCACTTATCGTCATAGTACTCGCTTTCTAACTCAGTTACCTCGTAGTCTTCAGGGTACTCCTCGGCATGTTCCACCGGGTCTTCCCCTCGTGGCTTGACTTTAAGGCTTTGTTGATAGCTGTAGTCGTCTTCATCATTGGGCACTTCTTCAAGGGTAACAAGGTTTTTATTCGTAGATATCGGAACACATAATGGGCCCACCAACCCGCCCACCAGAGAACACGAGCCCCCGGTGCCATTATGTGTTAGTGAGAGAGGGGGTAGGTGCACCGTGTAGGAAAGAGGAGTTGGGTCCCTGGTCGTCTGGACTGTTCTTTGCGGGGTGGCGGTTTTCTTGATAGGGATTCGCATTCCCTCTTGCGGCTCTGTCGTGTCCA